TAATAAGATGTCAGAGCCAAGGTGTACACCGCGCCCGCCCCCGAACTTCTGTTTCCTTCCTGTAGAACATGTTTCCTTCCAAGGAGGAACTTGAAGAGAATGAGGAAGCGTGTATGCTCCTGACTTTGATGAAATGCTCTAGTATCGTGCCAAAGGAAAATATGAACTCATTTCTAGGGACCCTTAAATGTAAGTGCATTTGGTGCTCAGTCCTGGGTGGGTCTGATTGTCACCATCTTCACGGCACAGGGTGGTAGAGACCGCAGGAGGCAGTCGGGTCTGAATGAGTTTAGAGCGGAGCAGCAGTGGAGTGGGACTTTAATCTCCCACTCTACACTATTGCATCATCTTAGAATTTATGCAACTGCTGATTTTTATTAGAGGAATTTCCATAGCAGGAATTAAGATGGGGCAATATTGTAGCCCTCCCAGTTGAATCAAGGTCAAAACTATGCACTAAAATGTACTCCTGAGACAAGGGGCTCTTTATCTGGGGTCCATGCAGGGATGGGATCAGACAGGTTCACTACCGGGCTTCAAGGGATTCATGTGCTCTATGAAACTACACAGAAACTTTTCTGTGCATGTGCATTTTTCTCTGGGGAAAGGATCTGTATCTTTTATCCTCAGAAGTGTCTGTGACCCAAAAATGGTTATGAAACCACTCTTTTTTTTAAGAGGCCTTTTTGAAAAGCCTTTAGTGGACTTCAGATGTCACACACTTAAAAAGGCACAGAGGTGAATCTTGGTGACCATTTCTTCTAACTCAAGCATTTCTTATCTCCAGTTAGCATAAGAAAACCATCATCAGAGCGGACCTATATGGCTTTTCTCACACAAAGCTCACTTTCTGATTTGGGTATCAAAATGGACATGGTTGGAATGAGCATTCCTATGCTTTCTGTACTGTCTCAGAGCAGAGTAACTGTGATGCTACAACCTGAGAAAGACAGTCCCGTGCAGATCTACAAGTCACTGGTGAATGACACAAGTTCCTAAACAAATCACTATTGTATAAAATTAGACCATGATGTGTTAGCCGATGAAAGGATCAACTTTTCAGTGTCAGATGTAATTCTAGGAGCCTAAGTTTTTTTTCTCGCCAAACCAGTGGACCTTTACTTGGAAATAAAAGATTCAGCAACCATGGATAAAACATAAGCTAAGACCTCCTGCCTTTCCCAGTGGGAAAGAGAGGGGAGGAACCCTAGGAAGGGAGGGAAGATAAGGGTCATAGGTGCTACAGTTCCTTCCTTCTCCTGTAGAGATCTGGGGTGGAGCAGGGGGCCATGTTATAGTCCTTCTGCCTACACGAGGGACCCAGAAAAAGTTAATTCTTTTTTATCTGTCAAGGGGGAGTCTTAAAAGGGGCTAGACTAATGCCCTCGGGCTATGCCAAGCAGGCCAGCCTTCAGGGCCTCCTCTGTGACTTCAACTCGGGGAATGGTTTTGACTCATGCTGAGCATCCAAGAATTTAGGGACTAGGTTGCTCAGGTACCAAAACCTACCATTAAAAACAAAGTCTAGAGCCAATCACATGCTTACCTTTCAAGTATAATAGGGGTGCCTACATTCAAACCGCTCTATTAATCATGTTGCATCTGCCATCTTCATATTTAAAGCTCATAGGCTGCAGTTTACTTTAGGGAACAGTCTAGCTACCCAAAAAGAGAGACTTGTTACAAGATGCCATTTGGTTATGGAAGCCCCAAGCGCCAGGGAAGATATGACTGTAGTGATCCCTTAATACATGTGACCAGGGAAGAGTTCTTTTATGAAGGCAAGGGTGGCTTAACCTCGGAGTGACTGCTAATGAAATATACCACAATAGGTCAAAAGAGTAACCATAAAGTAACCATCCATTCCTGATAAAACGTTTGGTCAAAAAGCCACGGAAGGCATTGGGGCACATGCCCGGGTTGTAGGCTGGATCCCCAGTCGGGGGCGTGCAGGAGGCAGCCGATCAATGACGACTCTCTNCGGGGCACATGTCCGGGCTGTAGGCTGGATCCCCAGTCGGGGGCGTGCAGGAGGCAGCCAATCAATGACGACTCTCTCATCACTGATATTTCTCTCTCTCTCCTCCTCTCCCTTCCTCTCTCTGAAATCAATTAAGATATATATATTTTTTAAAAGTTATGGAGGGCTATCTTTTTTTATTGTGATCGTTTGGTTACTGTCCTAACCATTTTTAAGTGTACAGTTCAGTGGTATTAAATAACATTCACACTGTTGGGCAGCCATCTATCCCTGCACTTTTTTTCATCTTGTAAAACTGAAACTCTATACCTATTAAACAATAACGCATGCTCCCGTTACCCCGGCCCTGGCAACCACCATTACAATTTCTATCTTTAGACTGCTCTAAGCACCTCATATAAGTAGAATCACGCAGTGTCTGTCTATTTGTCACTGGCTCCTTTCACTTAGCACAGTGTCCTCACGGGTCATCCATGTTGTAGCATGTTGCAAAATTTCCTCCTTTTTAAGGCTGCATAATATTCAACACTGTTTTGTTTAACATGTTAACGGCTATCTGTCTCAAACCAGCGGCTAATGTTACATATCATGGAAAATATTACAGATACAGATACAGTGTGGTCAGGTAGAAGATAAGGGTGCGTGCTATTTACTATTGTTCTGGCAGCTCCAGCCAGTATAGCTCTGTTCAAAAAGGAAATAAATAGTGTAACTATTGCAAAAAAGAAGGTAAAGTTGTCTTAGTTTGCGAATGGTGTGATTTTCTTTTCAGACTGAAAACCTATTTGAAATAAGGGTATGTATTTTAAATTTAGCTGTTTTTACAACTCCATCTTTTCATTTGTGGCCTAGATCCCCTCCCCCCCCCCTTTTTTTTTGCCTATTCAAGGACTTCGTTCTTGCATTTTTTCCTTTTCATCAATTTTTTTACTTTCTCTTCTGGATTCTCCCCAACGGCATATGTTATAGTATCTCCCCATCTGTAAAATATCCTCCCTCTGACCTCATCTGTAAAATATCCTCCCTCTGACCTCATCGTGTGTTTCTCCTGCTACAGTCCCATTTCCCTGCTCCCTTTATAGCAAAACTCTTAAAGAGAATTGTCTGTTGTCCAGCTCAGCCCCTTATCTGCCATTCTCTCTCTCTTTATAACCTTTCTTTTTTAAATTATTCTCTAGATGTTTCACATGTTGGCAAGAGGACTCGAATGTGTCTGGGTCCCAGGCCCACTCTAGGTGTGTGTGCTGGACAGAGCTGCTCCCCATCCCCCCTCTTCCACTCTGGTCTGTCTTTCAGCTTCGCCATTTCACCGGCTCCTCCTTGACCCTGTTCAGGTCATATGTGACCTTAGTTGCCCATCCACTGGACAGTTCTCATTTTACTCAACATCTCAGCAGGATTTGACACAGTTCCCTACAAAACACGTTCTTCGCCTGTCTTTTGGGACACTAGAGTTTCCTTGTTTTCGTCCTGTGACACTCGTCCCTCCTCAGTCTCCTGTATTGGTGGTCCCCGGCTCTGCCCTGGGATCCCTTTTCCTCTGTAGCGTGTCGTCTCCTTGGATGACCTCATCTGGGCTCATGACCCCTAACAGCATCTAGACATTGATGATCCCTGACTTATATCTCATACTCCCTCCCCCGCACAGAGTCCAGATTGAAATCTCCACTTGCACATGTGATAGGCAACTCAGACTTCACCTGTCCAGTCTTGATTTTGCCCTTGCAAACTTCCTTCTCCTTCGTTGTTTCTCACATACTTTTCCTTAATCCCCAAACCACAATACATCCTTGATCTTTTTCTTTCCATCGTCCCTTGACATTCAATTTGTCAACCTACTCTGTTGACTGTCTTCAGAATAGATCATGTCCTCACTGTCCCTGCTGCTACAACCCAAATTGCGCTCAACTCTTGCCTGAGCTGTTTTCAGTAGCCTCCCCAGGTCTCTTGCCCTCCACCTGTCTTCCCCTGCAGTGTGTTCCTTCCCAGCAGCCAAAGCAACCTTTTAAAATGTATATCAGATCATACCACTCCCCTGCTAACCTCGACCTGTTATACTTAGAATAAAATTCCATTATTTTTACCAGTCTACAGGGCCTTAAAGATCTGGTCCACAATTGCCCTCTGACCTCCCCTCCTTGACTCTGCCTGGCTCCGTCCACTCCAGCCTTCCCCAGTCAGCCCCCTGGCCTCTACACAGACAGCTTCCCTGGGCCTCAGGTGGTTTACCTTGATGCATACATGGCTCGCTCATTATTGGGGTGTTGTGTTCAAATATCACTCGTTCAAAGATGCCTTCCCAGATAACTCTCTAAAATACGTACCACTCCTCCCAGCCTGCTTTGTTCTTACCCTGATTTGATTAACTTTTATCAATTACAAGTGTCTGAAATTATTTTTTATTCATGTTTTTGTCTCCCCCACTAAAATAGAAGCTCTGCAGAGGCATTGGCTTCCTCTGCCTTGTTCTTTCTTGTACCCCTTGTGCTTAGAACAGGGCTGGCACGTAGTAGGTGCTCAGTTAAACATACTGGGGAAATAGCAGTCTATTTACAACAGCTCTATATATATAAAATCATCAGTAAGTACAAAATAAGTGACAAAAATGAGGTATCATTTTTTTCCTATTCAATTGGAAAAACTAATGTTGGTGATCATGTTGATGAGGCCACTAGGAAATGGGCACTCTCATTTGCCTCTGGTGGAAATATAAAATTGCCTAAGCTTTCATGGTGGTGAGTCATGGGTGATTTTTATCTCAATTTTTTTCAATGTGCTGTGTTTCCCATTTTTTTCAATAATTCCTTTTTCCCCCTAATAATTACTTTTTAAGCCAGAAAAATCAAATCATCTTAATCTTTTTTTTTCTCCCCCTTTACAATAAAAAATTAACCTGGCTGGATCCTTGCACCAGCCAGTTGGTGAAGCTAATCCCAGCAGCAGGTGGCCTTGCTTTGCTGTGGGGCCTCTTCCCTTAGGAATGTTTAATCTGAGTCCTGTACCGGGCTTCTCCGAGAGGATGCAGTACGCTCATGAGAACTGCGTGCAGAATCACTCTTGTTCTGCGGTCCTGGGCTGGCGTGGGGAGCCCACTGGAAACGCGGGCCTGGGAAAAACATGCAGCTTGAAGGCGGGGCCCACCCAGTTCGAGGTGGGGTCCCACAACCCTTCCTGCCAAGACCCAGGTCTCCACAGACAGGGGAAGCCTAACGTTTCTTGGCAGATACCCTTCCCAGCTCCCTCGCTGCCTGGGATTGAATTAAAAAACAATAGCCTGGCCGGGTGTGGCTCAGTGGTTGAGCATTAACCTAGGATCCAGGAGATTGTGGTTTGATTCCCAGTCGGGGTACATGCCTGGGTTGTGGCCTCGATCCCCAGCCAGGGGCGTGCAGGAGGCAGCCGATCAATGACCCTCTCTCATCATTGATGTTTCTCTCTCTCTCTGTCCCCGAAATCAAAAAACAAACAAACAAAAAATAATAATCACAGTCACACATGCCTTTCACTCTGCTGTATGCAGCTGGACTTCTGGTGGCAGTTTCCTTAGACATGTCCGTGCCCTGTTTTGCTCATCCCCCGGTGGCCAGCCCTCCTGTCTGGGCCCCAGGCCCCCGGAAGGGAGGCTCACAGCTGAATCACCAGTGGGACATTCTTCAGTTTCCCCTTGTTTCTTTCTCTCCTGGGGAGAATTGGTAGCTCGACACTTCACTTCTGTCGCTTTCTGGGCCTGGCAGTTAGGTTCCCGAGTACCCAGTGGCTCACCTGAACGGCTGAGAGCAAAGTCTGCACTCCGCTCCTGTCCTCGGCTGTTTCATTTACATTCCCTCAGCCCCGCCCCACTTAGCCCCTGCCCTCTGACAGTGTACAGTCAGCCTCAGAACCTGCCAGCAGATTGTGGACTGTTCTGAGTGGCACCGAGAATTGAGGGTTGGGCTGGCTCAGGATATTGCTTCCCTGGCGTTTGCTGGCTGAGTGGCACACGTTTATGACTGCAAGCGTTCCAGGGACCTGGTGATGCGGTGAGAGGGGCAGATTTTAACTATTTGTCTTGTGTTCCCTTGTCCCTTCTCCCTTGGGGCTCAGAGCAGGGGAGCACCTGCCCTCTGATGGAGTAGAGAGGCACCAATAAAAAGCCTCCCTTTTTGCCTTAACCACCTTTTGTGTTCAAAAGATGCATAATCCATGTTCATCTTTATGCTTGTTAGAGAAAGTGCTGGGGATGGGGGGAGAGGTATGAGAGAAGAGTTCTCCTAGAATAACTGTCACCCATCCTCCATCGGCCTCTGCCATGGCTTGAGCCTGTGTGGGACTCAGACTTGGGGTCCCTGCACTGTCACAGACTGCAGGGGCAGGGGGAGCTGCAGCATCACCTGTGCACTGTGCCCAGCCAGCCCCCTTTCTGTCAGTTACTCATTTATCTGTCCTTTACTGTTTTCCAGTCCACCTACCGCCTAGGCCTGAGGGGTTCAAAAGAACTGCAGTTAATCTGGTTTGAACTTAACCACCTTCTTTAACTTTTTTTTTTTACAGCTTAAACTTTGGAACAAATATCGAATTTCCAACATTCCATCGCTAATATTCCTAGATGCCACCACCGGGAAGGTTGTGTGCAGGAATGGGCTGCTGGTGATCCGTGATGACCCAGAAGGTGAGACCTCGGCATGTCCATCCTGTACTCCCCCTCACCCCCTTCCACGTCCCTCTACCCTGACCTCCTCTCCATAGCTAGATGGAGTTGAAATGCAGTTGACCCTTGAACAGCATGGGGGTTAGGGGTGCCAACCCCCACACAGTTGAAATTCCACGTATAACTTTGACTCCCCCCAAACTTAACTACTAATAGCCTGCTGTTAACCGGGAGCCTTACTGATAACATAAAAAAATCAATTAACACATATTTTCTATGTTACGTGTTTTATATACTGTGTTCTTACAATGAAGTAAGCTAGAGAAAAGAAAATGATATTAAGAAAATCATAAGGGACAGAAATACATTTACAGTACTGTGTGTGTTTTTCAATACTGTAAGTTTACATCTGTTTTAGGCTATGCGGTTTATCTTCAAGTTCTTTCAAATTGCCAGTTAAAAAAAAATCTGCACATAGTGGACCCAGGCAGTTCACCCATGTTGTTCAAGGGTCAACTGTATATGTAAGTGGGTTTATTTGGCTAAAGAATATTGTCTTGATGAAATTATAGTATTCTCCAGGTCATGGTTAAGGTTTTTAAAGGGATCAGAATGTCCCTCCTGGGAGCTTTAATTCATGGGCCGAAGGAGATGGAATCTGAGAGCTGAGGAGGCTGTTGAGAAGCAGCTAGAGCTCCGATACTGATGGCTAGTGCCGTTCCCACAGCGAAGTCGCCGGCTCTGTGTTCTCTCCATCTCGGTGGCGAGTGCACTTCATTCTTGGTGCTGCCCAGGTCCCACAGGCCTTGGTCTTGCTTGCTGGCTGACTGGGCGCTCTGATCACTCTGCTCAGTGACTGTCCAACGTCTGTTTCTCTCCCCCGTGCACTGGAGTTATAAAAGGGTCATAAGATCGTCCTCCCTCCATTATTGATCCAGCTAGAGGATCTAAGCCTGGTCACACATTTTCCCAGTTAAAATTTCACCTGCTTCAAAGAATTGCCCTCAGCAAAAACCAGGGCATGATAGAACCAAGTTTTTACCTTCTCAAATTTAAACACACACACACGCGCGCGCACAGGCACACTACTCTGGAGCTTGATAGATGCCCTCTTCCCCTACCCCA